TCGCTCTTCACTTTGCTTCCCTGTTCGCTCTTCACTTTGCTTCCCTGTTCGCTCTTCACTTTGCTTCCCTGTTCGCTCTTCACTTTGCTTCCCTGTTCGCTCTTCACTTTGCTTCCCTGTTCGCTCTTCACTTTGCTTCCCTGTTCGCCCTTCTGCACCGCATCCTGCCTGACCTTACCGCCTCCACCAAACCTCTTCCTCTCCCTCCTTGGAGCCAATCCAGCAGTCATTCTTCTACAATTTATTCCCTGCTTAGGCATTGCCAGTTTGCTTTATTGCATGGGATGACACATTAAATCCATTCGACCACCCTCTGACCCACTCTCACACATTGGAGATTCAGTAACCCGTCCCGCTCGATGCCTCCTCCCCCCCTCTCCCTTGCACCAGGCTCCAAGCCGTTGTCTGATTTTTTCGGCTCGCTTTACTACGTCGCCCCAGGGATGGATTTGAGGTGCCTAAAACAACCTCCTTCCCTCCCTCTTATTCACACCACCAGGCTCCAAGCCACTGTCTGATTTTGTCGGCTCACTCTACTTCGTCGCCCCAGAGGTGATCGAAGGCTCTTATGGCTTCCCAGCAGATGTGTGGTCGGCAGGCGTTGTCTTATACGTGCTGCTGGCCGGCATACCGCCCTTCTGGGCCAAGACAGAAGCCGATGTGACCAAGGCGATTCGGGAGGGGAAGGTGGGGTTCCGGGGCGCTGTGTGGAGAAATGTGTCAGATGCGGGGAAGGATTTGATTCGCCAGCTGCTGACGCACAACCAGAAGAAGAGGATTACTGCTCGTGCTGCCCTCGGTACGTATTTGGCCTTGCATAGATAGTTGTGGCCTATTATCATTCAGTGCGTACCAGCCTCTTCTTCTCCCTTCACTCAGTCAAGCATACTCTATTCCTATTTCTCCCATACTATCCGTGCAGAGCATCCTTGGTTCCGCAAGTGGGAATCATAAATGGAGCGAAGGTACCTAGGTTAATAATATTAAATGTAGCTTCTTGGGTACATAATCACAGGTTTAGACTCTGCCAACGTCTCACAAAATGACACTTGCACTGGAGCATAACTCGAGGTTACTAAAACATGAGTTGGTGACTGGGCATCCTACCAACTATGCTATGGTGCTGCTTCAAATAGTTTGTACCTTGTGTTTCCACCAGGGCTGTCGATATCCCTGGGGGCAGAACTTGAGGCCCTCAGCTGCTGAAATTCTGACCCTGATTTTCAGGGAGGTGACCAAATTTTTGCCCTTAACGGTCACGGGTGCAGGCCGAAGTGTAAACTTGAAATCTGGGCTCCAAAGTGTTGTGTACTTAACTAACCTAAACAACATCCTAGACAAGAAAATCACATACTTTTCACTGCTAACTACTCCAGTCAACCTGTATGTCAGGGCTTAGGTTTGGATTTTGCCTACTCACGATTAGCAGTGTAGACATTTTCAAAACCCTTCTGAGCAGTGTGCCCTTTTTGGAAACACTGATGGATCAGTGTAACTTGAAGTTTTGAAAACTTTACCCAGAGGCATCAGTGTAGGTATATTTTTTACCCTGATTGTACTTTAGGCTGCTCAATATGTGCTGGCTGCAATCAAGCTCGAGGCCCAAATCGCGCACGATTACTATCGTAAGTTGGGCGCTGGTGGGTGGGAGTTGTGATGTGAACTCAAAAGTCGAGCGCAGTGGCTTGTCTGGTTTCGCTGCAACACTTGTATTTTTCGCCAAGTCAGCAAATTTCGAGTGTGTTCGGAAACCTCGAGTCCCAGATTTCTGAGTCAAGAAAGTGAGGAAATGACAGAGCGCCGTGTTTTCAAATTTCGAATTCCAATGGGCAGTGGTTTTGACAGCGCATTGCTCTGCGCTCGCGTCTAATACCTTGGGGCATATTCTTTCTCAGTTTCCCCCCCTAAGTCCACAAATACAAGCTGTTTTTAGGTTACGGGGTATTAAAAATGTCTTCGTCGAGTCCATGGCAAAGGCTCAGCTCGGGACAAAAAAAAATATAGCCCTCATGGATGGTATGCCACGAAGAGAGCATCAACCCTTAACACCATGAGGCAAGGTGTTTAGGGTTGATGCCTCCCAAATGGCTTGTCATCCGAGTGGGTTTTAGTTTTTCCACTGGCCTCTATACTGAACCCAGGTAATCTTAATATTTTCCCTTCTATACGTTTGGTCATGAAAAACGGGAAACAGCAATATAAACTGACTGCGGGAATTGGGCGCGAGCGCGGTGGAGGTCGCTGTCAAAGCCACTACCGAAAGGAATCGAAAACGCGCAAACACGGCGGTCCGTCATTTCCTCCAAGAAAGTTGACGTTCTTGCAGAGAGTGCAGCTTCGACCAATCAGGTTGCATCGCCTCTACAGTAACGGGTAGGTTGCAAGCAGACACGGAGTGACACGGTGTCGGTTGTCAGTACTCACGTGTGCTGGCGTCGTAGTGCATCATTACGAAATTGGGTGTATCGCTACGAAAGCTCTAGGAAATCTCTTCTCAATAAGTAGAGTTTCCGAGGGGGGGGGGGGGGGGGGGAGTCCCTGTACGCTCTTCAGGGTAATCTTCGCTAAGGGAAAAATTACCCCAGAGCATCAGTGTGGCCTAAATCATTACACTTACAGATCAGTGTAACACTAACTCACCAAAAAATTACCCCAGCACATCAGTGTAGACCCAAAAATTCACCCTTGTAATCAGTATAGAAGGGTAAATTACACTGCAAACCTGAGCCCTGCTGTATGTCACAACTTCCAACTACAACTACAGCTGCACTGACTGCATTTCTACTCATCTGCTGACTTAGACAGTAGACACACACTAGATTGGATAGAAATCGAGTGAAACATCCTCCACCTAGCGCTCTATTGTGCAACTTTTATGGAAAGGGGGGGGGGGGTGGTTAGGGGAGGGGGGTGTTCCGCAAGATTTTGGGGGGGGGGGGTTCTGCGGAACCGAAAGTATATCTTAGATTCAGGGGACGGCCCAGATTGAGCACTTAACGCGTCCGGGGAAGGGCTAAACGATGCCCTTAACTGGCACGGGTGCCAGTAAAATCAAACCCTTAAAATGGTCGATCTGCGCCAAACATAACCCGGAATGTTCAGGGCATTAAGGGCAAATGCCCTTGAATCGACAGCCCTGGTTTCCACCTTGTGATTGAATCGAGTCGACGAAGAAAAACTTATGGCAGTCTGACACGGGCCTCACTTGGCTTCCCGCGGCTTCAAGAGCCAGGCTCGATTGGCCGAACCGTAAAGAACTGACCACCTAGGCCCACTATTGGTTAAAATGTTTCACAAACCTTCCAATCATACCGCGCCTGTACCAAACTGCTATCAGAACTTTTCGCAATCGCCGCATTCCGCCTTCCTCAGGCTGTGGGACAGCACGGCAAAGCGGCCAACCGCCGTCAGTTCCACGACCACATGGGATCATGTGATGTAACCAGGTCCTCCTGGCCCCATCTTTGACATGTGTTGGACGTCACCCGTGTCAATTGCAGCCTCCCAGATTCCACAACCACCCGTGGATTGTCCACGTGGATCGTATCGGTGGGTCGTGCTCCCGATCTGACGTTCGCTGCGCCTCCTTTTCCCTTTGGTTGGTGTGCCAGGCCGAACCTCCTCCTTTTACGCGAAGTGATCGAGGCGTCTTCGGAAGTTCTCCCATAATATCCTGGCTACGGGGAGGATAGTCATAGCTCGACGTTTAGAGATGCGTTGGAAAAACAAATGCTGCCTAGAACCCTACGGGTATCCTATGCTTGGTAATGTTTCATAAGCTCAGGATGGCGACGATGTACATCTCGTTGAAATTAGTGGGCAAAGCATCCTCCTTCCCAAAAATTTACGGTCACTTATTGCTAATTTGATTTAGTGCTCCTCCCTGCTTGTGCCACACACAAAACCGTGCAATTCGGGCCCAGCTTCTTCCACCGTCAATATCCCACCGCACCGTAATCAGATCTGTACTGACCACTCTATAACCAGCTCCAAAGCACAAGCAGCAAAGCTCGAGGACCCCTAATCCCATGTCCCAGGTCGTCCCTCCCAAACACTACTTGCATAGCTGCCATTGCTCCAACTCCAGCTGAGCTGTAAAACTTCGTGCTTTCTTGCTCTCGCCTATTCGCTCGCCGCGGCCTTCCCCCTTATCTTGTGCGTGTGGCAACCTTAGCCATTTGCAACGCGGCGAGGGCTAGAGCGACAGCAGCAAGACGTCGATCAGCAAGGCAAGCTGGGCCGAGCCAAAACCAGACCAAATCCTTCGGACCAACACTGTATCTGGGCTTAGTCCGGCTAGAAAATCAGCTGTCGTTGTCTCGTCACCCTCTTTCGTTGGTCGTGTGAACAGCCAAGCAGGAGGTACATTCCCTCGGCGAGTAGCAGGTCGGCGAGGGAAGGTGGTATTCATTATTTACCACATCGCGTTTATTTAGCTGGTCACGTCCAGAACACGTTTTCTCTGACATTATTCATCCTCGCGAATTATCTCGCGATAAGCTTTTCGAACCCACGAACCCAGCCAATACTCTGAAGTGTCTGCCTTTTGACTGGAACGTCAAGCCAATCCGCGAATTTCTCATTCGTCTGAGATCCTACGGTGGAAGCGGCAGATGTCCTTAATTAGATGCTGACGTCAGCGGGCTTTACTAAGCGCATCGAGCATGCTAAGGCAGCATGGAGAATCGAGCACGTGACCACCAGGAATGACTGCAAAGACAAGACATGGCGCATCCTTGCATTCCTGCCTCCCACCGCTTCCATCATTGTTAGTCAAATCTAGGAACCAAAACCTAACGTTCAGTGAAATCACTCTTCGCGACGCCGTCCCTCTCTTTGAGTATTGACTACCTAGTCAGAAGTCTGTCCGATCAGCGTCGTTACCAGCCGTAGGAAGCCTGATAACTGCATCATATCGTATCGGATCGTATCCCTATCGGCGTGTTATATCGGACCGAATCTTTTAGGACGGCTTGCATCGTTAAGGCCCTCTCCCATCCATGACCGCACAAGTCGCATCCATGTCCGCCGTCGCGTCGCTAGGAGTCACCGTCAAATCCGCCTCAACTTCCGCGTTAAGCGAAGGCTCTTCTTATACCGAGGATGCCGTTTCCACCCCGATCACCGGCGGCATTCCCGAGGGCTGGCCGGTGAACGCTCCCACGGAGCTGCCTTCGCATTTGGCGGCGGATGCGGCGGCGGCGGATCCGGTGGTTCGGTTTACGGTGGCGGAGCAAGTAAAGAAAGGCGAGGACTTTCACATGGCACTCGCTAACTATCGGTTAGGCGGCGTCAACTGCGGCGTCTACTGCGTAAGTCGAAAGTCGAGTTCCGGTTGTGCTTGTTGGTGTGTCTGTCGGTGTGTGTTCATTGCGAGGTTCGCCGTAGAGGAGTCAACGGCGGCGTCGACTGCTGCGTCAACTGCGCTCGCCAGGTCCAGTTCCCGCCGCTCTTGTCGGCGTATTCGTTGCAGCCCCAACTTCCCCTTCTTCCTTCAACCCCCCTCACCCCGCCCCCTCCCCCACGTCCCGTTTTTCCCATGCACGCCTCTCAGGTGTTCGACGGGCACAGCGGCACTGCAGCAGCCAGCCATGCATCGCAAGAAGGAGGTGCTGGGGTTCGTGAGCGAGTACCCTCCACTTATCCCCCCCATTCTCTTCCCCCGCCCGCCATCCCTCCTCCCTCCCCATCTCTACCCCTCCCATCCTTCCCCCTCACCTCACCCCCCTCAGATGTTCGACGGGCACAACGGCACGGCGGCGGCCATGCACTGCAAGAAGGAGCTGCTGGGGTTCGTGAGCGAGTACCCTTCACTTCACTCATTCCCCTCATTCTCCCCCACCTCCTTCCCCTGCTTCCCTTGCTCGACTCGACCCCTCCTGCCGCTCCTCCCTTCAGGTATTCGACGGGCAAAACGGCACAGCCGCCGCCATGCACTGCAAGAAGGAGCTGCTGGGGTTTGTGAGCGAGTACCCTCCGCTCATTCCCCCTATTCCGCTCACCTCCTCCGCACGCCCTTCCCCCCACCTCTCCCCCCACCTTCGGCTCCTTCCTCTCCCCACCCCCTTAGGTGTTCGACGGGCACAACGGCACAGCCGCCGCCATGCACTGCAAGAAGGAGCTGCTGGAGTTCGTGAGCGAGTACCTGCCGGGGGGGGGCGTCGTACCGAGAGGACGCGGGGGAGAAGGGCGAGGAGGCCGAGGTCACGAGTCAACTGCGCGACGGGGAAGGCGCGGCTGTGCTGGAAAGTGGCGGCGGAGGCGGGGGAGGGAGGGATGCGTGGTTGAAGGCACTACCGATGGCGCTGGCCGAAGGATTTCTCAAATGCCACAACACGTTTGCCCTGCGTGAGTGTTGTTTTGAGACGTCTCAAAACGATGGCGCTGGCCGAAGGATTTCTCAAATGCCACAACACGTTTGCCCTGCGTGAGTGCTGCCCGCGCATGCATGCGTCCGTGCGAGCATGTGAGTGCCCCCACCAAGGATCAAAATTACGGCTACCGTATTATACGGTCCGTATAATACGGTCGTTTTTTACGGCAAGAAATTCAAAAATACGCCGTATTTTTGATAGACTGTTTTTCTGGTGTTTTTTTTTTTTCCCCGTACCAATGCTCTGAAAGGTACACACTACATTAGCATAGCATAACAACAGAACAGATGGTTTCAACACTACTCGACCATTCCCACTACTACCGTACCGTCCACTACTCTTTACTTTACACCTCCTACCCTATCCTATCCTTCTCTAGCTCTCTCTCCTCCTCCAACTTGTAACCTTCTCTCTTCTCTACTCATCCTCCTCCTCCTCCTCCTCCTCCTCCTCCTCCTCCTCCTCCTCCTCCTCCTCCTCCTCCTCCTCCTCATCCTCATCCGCCTCCTCCTCTTCCTCCCCACTAGACCCGTCACTAATGTCCCAAGGATCCGCGCCATTTCGAGCCTTGGTGGGCACGTCCTCCTCCTCCCCTCCACTGCTATCCGCCGCCTCCTCCTCCTCACCCTCTTCCTCTCGCACGGAAGTTGCCTTCCTCTTTCCCTTGGTAGGCTTCTTGGCCTTCCCGTTTCTCTTCCTTTTAGCGGTCTTTGGCCCCTTCTTCTTCCGCTTCCCAATGTTCCCGAATAGGTCCCAATCAATGGTGCATAGCTGCTCATTCCCCTCTCCCTCCTCCTCGTCGTCCCCCACTTCCTCTTCCTCTGCTGCTGCCGGTTCCACGGCACTCCCTTGCTGGAGGGTGCCGTTGGCCAGATCGGCATAAAGCTTCTCCCTCTGCCGTGATTTCCTATCGAAAGCATCCCTGGCCCTCCTGGCGAACGCCACCTCAGTCACATCCATCATCTTGTTGGCACTGAGGCGGTTACGGTCCCGCCTCTGCACCCGTGCAATGGCGGACCAGTAGCGTTCGACCTCAGAAGACGTGACTGGCTGTGACAGCACCGTCACAGCCATCCCCATGAGCGCTCGCAATTCCCCCCCATACATCAGCCACCACTCTGCCTCCGTCAAGCGCCCACTCGCCACCAACACCGTTGCTGCCCAACGGGCATCATCGGACCCTATCAGCCCCTCTCCTTTATGAAACTGCGTCAACTGCGCCAACAGCAGCGCGCGTTGTGCGACGTCTCCCCCACGGGCCTGGATCACCGCTTCCGCCCCAAGCCTTACCTCGGGATCGTTCTTCACCTCTTTGCCGTACTGATTGCGCGGGTTCAGAAGCCACCCCATAGCATGGAGTGGATTGTGGAGCTGGGAGTCCCACCTCCTTGCTATGATAGCCTTGATGGCGGCCAGAAAGGCCGGCTTGTCTTTGGCCGGCAAGAGAGCGGTGCGTTTCAGCATCATTTTGGCTGCCCATGGGGAGAACCGGAGAGCACGAGGTGAGCACAATTGGCGGGAAGGGTATACAATAGCCAGAACGTGCGGCAATTCACAGCTTACCTGCCGCCTCTGCCGCATTGTTTGTCTTCACCGTGGCATCTAGCATGAGGCCATAGATCTGGCCCATGACTAGAGCACGGGTGTCAACCACCCGCAGCACTTCATACACGGGTGTCATGAGGCGGAGGACCGCTGTCGCGCACTCCCAAAAGACCTCATCCAAGAGGAGCTGGCGGACAGCTCGCCCCTCCTCAGACCGCGCCACCGCCACCGACTCCCACTCCTCACTGATGATCATCTCCTTGAGCGCTTTCTTTACTTCCAGGAAGCGGGCAAGCATGATAACTTGCGTGCCGAAGCGTGTTGCACCGGGCCGCACCAAGGACAAAGTGCTAAACAACTCGTGGAAGAGCGTGACGGCAGACGCGCTTCCCTTGACGATCATAACCACCCTGTGCACCTGGTTGAGCACTCGCCGCACAGCACGGACCCTCCCGATGTCGTGGAGCATCAGGTCCAGGACGTGCGCCGCACAGTTGTTGAAAAACACTGCAGGAAAACCGCCCCGGAGGATGTCGGCCGCCCTACGGTTGTTGGACGCATTGTCCATGACCACCTGCACCACCTTCTTGTCTCCAACCTCGGCGATTGAGGTCCGGATGAGGCCGGCCAAGTACTCCCCCGTCTTCTTCGCGGTCTTGGAGTCCACGGTCTTCACGATGACAGGCGCCGTGTCATTGTGGGCTATGACACACACGAGCCCACGGCTCTTCATGCAGGTCCAGCCGTCCACGGAGATGGTGCAGCCGCTAGTGTTCCAACTCTCCTTCAGGGGCCTTACAAGGTCCTCGGTATCCGCTACCAGTTTTTGAAGCAAAACACCAGAAACCCTGAAGGGGGATGGGAGGGTGTATTGTTTCCCGAAGGCAACAGCCGCATCCACGAAGTTCTGCACGGCTGGCGACTTGGACGTGTGGAACGCCCAATCGTTATCAGCCACTGCAGCGGCCCATAGGTAGTCCAGTCGAGCGCGTGCAGAGTCATCCACCATGTCGCGGATGTCCCGCTGTCGAGTGCGGCGAGAGGGCTGGATGTCTAGGGTTGAAGTGGAGCCAAGGGTTGACGGAGTGGTGCTTCCAGAAAGCTCATTAGTAGCTGCTTCCTCGCGAAGTTTGATGGCGACTTCGTGGGTGCACGGCGTCACATTCTTATCTTTGTCCTTCGGCGTCCCATAGATGTGCTCTCCTATGCGTGTAGCATTAGCAGTCACGGATTCGGAGCAGTGTACGCATTTCGCCGTTTAGGTGCCGTCTGGTCCCTTAGTCGTTGTAACGTGCTTCCACAGCGGCGATTTCTGCCTCGCCATGGCGTACGTCCTGACAGGCACGAACCCTAGTGGAGCACCCTGAAGACTAAACTAGAGCAGAACTATGCTCAGAATATGATTAGGAGTGGCTAAACCGAGCTCCTAAGTACCTCGTTGTGGAAGGTGGGTGTGTTGTGTCGAGTGGGTTTTTGAAAAGGTTGAGTTCACGGGATGTATTCTGATTGGTTAGATTGGTTTCGCATCGCGACTTTTGGATGTGTCGCGACTGCGAGCGAACCAAACCTTCGCCGTGCGAAAATGTTTAACGAAAATCACGAAACGTGGGGTCGAATGGGTACCGTTCGCCACATGTTAGAATGTCGCGCCTCGGGAAATTGTACACGTTCCGCTTTGGCGACTCATGCCAACGAGTTGGCGAAACACGTAAACTCGAAATTGGCCTCGCCAAATGCCCAAATGTCGCGACGCGAAAGAGTCGTGACATTTGGGACGCAGGGAAAAAACACATTCGTGTGTACGGTTGTGAGAGAAAATCACGGTTGGGAGAAATGTGCGTGTGACACTATGATTCCTGATATACACAGACCCGGTTTCAATTTTTCGGTCGAATTATACGGTCGTATTTTTGAACCAAACACAAAAAACCTCAATCCACCGTATTAAACCGTATTTTACGGTCGTATTATACGATTCCGTATTATACGGTGAAAATTCAATAATACGGTCGTAATTTTGAACCTTGGCCCCCACCCTCCCACCCTCCCACCCTCCCACCCTCCCACCCTCTCCTCGCCTCAACTTCTCAATTTCTCGCCTTGCCTCCCCCGCTCCATCTCCCACCCTCTTATATTCCGTCGCCCAATCTCCTAGTGACCCAACAGCCTCCCCCCCTTTGGCATCCCAACACCAGGGGGCCAGCCGTCAGGAGCGACAGCAACGCTGGCGATCGTGTCGGGATGGACGGTGACAGTGGCAGCAGTGGGGGACCCGTGGGATTTCTGCATCCTCCTTTGCCCCCAACCACCCGTGTAAACCGTAATCCCCGCCCGCTTCCCGCTATTGTAACAGCAGGGGGCCAGCCGTCAGGGGCGACAGCAATGGTGGCGATAGTGTTGGGATGGACGGTGACAGTGGCAGCAGTGGGGGACTCGCTGGCATTACACACGCCCCTCCCCCCACCACTCACACCCGCCTATTCCCTCTCCTCTCCCCTCTCCTTGCCTCTCCCATCGCCTCTCCCCTCCTTCCTCTTCTTTCCCATCCCCACATTTCATTACCAGGCGGTCAGCCGTCAGGAGCAACAACAACAGTGGTGATCGTGTCGGGATGCACAGCGACAGTGGCAGCAGTGGAGAATTTACGTGCTTTACAGACACGCCCCTCCGTCCCCATCGTCCCACCCTCGTATTTCCCGTCCTGCCTCCCTCTGTCTTAACACCAGGGGGGCAGCCGGCAGGAGCGACAGCAACGGTGGCGATAGTGTCTGGATGGACGGCGACAGTGGCAGCAATGAGTGGGCGATTCTAGAATTTACGTCTCCTCCTTTGCCCCCATCCTTACCACCCTCTTTCTCCCGCACCTCCCACCATTTTCCAACACCAGGCGGCCAGCCGTCAGGGGCGACAGCAACGGTGGCGATTGTCTTGGGATGGACGGTGACAGTGGCAGCAGTGGGGGACTCGCGGGCCATTCTAGACACCACTGGAGGGGGCGTGACGCCTCTTTCTTTGGACCACCGCTTTGAGGTGTCTGAGGACGAGTGAGTGGGGGAAGAATGGGGAGGGGGGAAAGGGAACTCTTGATTCGCCCTAACTAAAAGGTAGCAGTGGGGGACTCGCGCTCCTCTCTTGCTGGTCCACCGATTCGAAGTGTCAGAGGACGAGTGAATGGGGGAGGAAGAAGAGAGGAGGGGGTGTGGGGGGGGGGGGGGGGGGGAGAGTGGGGGAGGGAAAGGGCTAGTGAGGTATTCTTGGAAGATTGGCGGGTCATACTAACCTTGAGGTAGCTTCGGGGGACTCAACAGGGCGCTTCTGACCTGTGCTGCTCGTGCTGCCCTGTCTTGCTGCCCTGTCTGCTGAAACCACCTGACCAGGTGCAACAGAGTGCTCAAAGAGGGTGGCCAACTCGCCAGGCTTCGGACCTTCGATGGCACGCAGGTGTGTTGTGAGGGTGCTCAGGTGTGTTTTCAGGTAGGTAGATGTAATACCAGATGTGTTGTCATTTGTGCGTGTGATCTTATACGTGTAATTTCAAGGATAAAGTTTGCTGTTGTAATCAAAGTACTAATGTTACAAACAATGGCACATGAGATGGGAAAAGATTTCAAGACAGTACTACCGTCATTGCCCGGATGGTAGACATATGTATGGGAATTTTTCTTGTCTTATATCGGTATCTTGTAATGGAAGGTTACAGGTGTCTTATCAATCTTATATATGGAAACCTCGTAAATACTTTGAATATTTCTCATGTTATTGCGTACATATCTACAAGTGTGTGTTTTATAACGAGTGCGGATGTCCCAACGCTTCAGACGTCGGCAACCAGTGTTGGGACGCCACATCAGGAAGAATGCCTGCTGTTTTGAGGTCGATTTTGGAGTTTATGAGTCAGGTCGTGGACGAATTCGCGTTTCGCACAGATAGAAACGTACGCTGTATCACTATAATACATTGCGGTTTCGATTATAAGACAGGAATATTATCTTTTACTGGTAAACGGTTTCTTGTAAAAGGGTCTCCTCTGTATAATATTATACCCCAATAGAAAACAACGTCTTTAAATTCGACATCTCCTATCTGGGCGCTTACGGTATGATCGTTTTCCCTCCTTCCCCTCTGTCATCCCCGTCTCCCCCATCCCCTTTTGCCTACCCTCATCCACAGCTGGGTCCTCTCCACAGCTGGCCGGGAGGGCTGAGTGTGTTGCGGTCGATAGGCGATGTGGACTGTGGGTCTGTGGCAGGCTAGAGTCGACTCGTTTTGAGACGTCTCAAAACAAATCTTCATACTGTGGCAGGTTAGAGTCGACTCAAAAGACATCCCTTCTCGTTCTTCCCCTCCACCCCTTCCCCTCCGCCTCGGTCCTCTCCACCCCTCCTCATTCCCTCCTGACCTCTCCAGCTGGGCCCACTACGAAGCTGGCCGGGAGGGCTGTGTGTGTCGCGGTCGATAGGCGATGTGGACTGTGGAACGTTCATCACGCCGCTGCCGCATGTCAAGCAGATTCAGGTGGGTGAGAGAGGGGTGTGGAGGGGTGTGGAGGGATGGTTGGGTGAGAGAGGTGTGTGGAGGGATGTCTATACACATTGTGTTCGCGTGTGGGAGGCGATGTGGACTGTGGCACGTTCATTACGCCGCTGCCACATGTCAAGCAGATTCAGGTGGGAAAAGGGGTGTGGAGGGGAGGGGAAGGATGTTAAAACATTATGTGTTCATGCATGGGTTGTGGTTGGGAAGAAGGGAGGGAGTGGGTCCACCAGGAGTTAGGCAGGATGGTGATGGCATTGGATGGGCCGTGGGACGCAGTGGACTCAGGCATAAGTACATGTGCGCTCCTCTGTACCCCTCTGCGCCCATCTGTATCTCCCTCGTTCTCTTCAGGTCCCCCAAGCGGGTGGAAGGGTGGTGATGGCATTGGATGGGCCGTGGGACGCAGTGGACTCAGGCATAAGTTCATGTGCGCTCCTCTCTTGCCCCTCTGCCCCTTTCTGTGCCCCTCTGTGCCCCTCTGTCCCTTTCTGTGCCCCTCTGTCCCTTTCTGTGCCCCTCTGTGCCCTGCCCCTCTGTGCCACTCTGTGCCCCTCTCCCTCTCTCCAGGTCCCACAGGCGGGTGGAAGGGTGGTGATGGCGTCGGATGGGCTTTAAGATGTCGACTCAGACAAGAGCGCATGTGCGCCCCTCTCTGCCTCTCTGCCTCTCTGCCCCTCTGTGCCCTCCGCACGCCTCCCCCTCCTATCTTCAGGTCCCCCAGGCGGGAGGCAGGGTGGTGATGGCGTCTGATGGGCTGTGGGATGCAGTGGACTCAGACAACTGTGCGTGTGCGCTGTGACCCTCTCTGCCCCTCACCGCACCCATTTTTTCACGTGTGCCTTCCTCCTCTCTTCAGGTCCCCCAGGCGGGAGGCAGGGTGGTGATGGCGTCTGATGGGCTGTGGGACGCAGTGGACTCAGACAACTGTGCGTGTGCGCTGTGACCCTCTCTTCCCCTCTCTGCCCCTCACCGCACCCATTTTTTCACGTGTGCCTTCCTTCCTCCTCTCTTCAGGTCCCCCAGGCGGGAGGCAGGGTGGTGATGGCGTCTGATGGGCTGTGGGACGCAGTGGACTCAGACAAGGCCGCCAGGCGATGCAGAGGGCTGCCCTGCACCGCTGCTGCCCCACTGCTTGTCAAGGTGAGGTTCAGTGCGGTACTGTGCCATGTTATGAGGTGCTGCTGGGTGCTGTTTGGTGCTTGGTGCCGTTCAGTGTTCCTCTCTTGGGACGCAGTGGACTCAGACAAGGCCGCCAGGCGATGCAGAGGGCTGCCCTGCACCGCTGCTGCCCCACTGCTCGTCAAGGTGAGGTGCAGTGCGGTGCTGTGTGGTGCTTCTTGGTGTGTTTGGTGCTCGGTGCTGTGCGGTGCTGCTCGCTTAAGATGCGGTGGAATCAGACAAGGCCGCCGGGCGCTGCAGAGGGAGGGCTGCCATGCTGTGCACCGCGTGAAATGAGTCGTGCTTTGAGTCGTGCTTTGAGTCATGCTTCGAGTCGTGCTTCGAGTCGTGCTTCAAGTCGTGCTTCGAGTCGTGCTTCGAGTCGTGCTTCGAGTCGTGCTTCGAGTCGTGCTTTGAGTCGTGTTTTGAGTCGTGCTTTGATACGTGTTTTGAGTCGTGATTTGAGTCGTGCTTTGAGTCGTGCTTTGAGTCGTGTTTTGAGTCTTCACCCCCCGTTCTCCCCTCCCTCCCTTCCACCTCCCTCCCCCTCTTCACAGGAGTCCATAAAGGCCAAGGGTCTAAGGGACGACATTACAGTGCTAGTGGTCGACCTGCTCTCCGCCTCTGCTACTTCACTGGCCTCACTGCTTGAACTATCTCTACCTTGTCTCACCCTCCCCCCCTTCACAGGAGTCCATAAAGGCCAAGGGCCTACGGGATGACATAACAGTGCTAGTGATCGACCTGCTCGCCGCCTCTGCTGCCGCTGACCCCTCCGCCTGCCCCGTGCCCAAGGCCCCCAGCTCCAAATCCTTCTTCTCCAAGTTCAGGGTACGTTCCGTTCCATCGCGCTCACTGCTTCCAGCTAACTTAATTTGTTGCTGAAAGCGCACGTAGGCTTCACTTGACATCAACATGGTTAGGTCAGCCGGTGCTCTGTAGGTGGTGCATCTAAGCCCCCCACCTCCAAGCCCTTCTTTGCTTCAAGTTCGAAATTCGTACGGCTGGAAGTGCCCTTGTTGTGCATTTACTTTTTTTTTTTTTTTTTTTTTTTCAGTTGGTTGGTGCCCATATGACAGTTACTTGTTTATCTGTGAAGAGTGCTTGCTTATCTGTTAATGAGTGCTTGCTTATCTGTTAATGAGTGCTTGCTTATCTGTGAATGAGTGCTTGCTTATCTGTCAATGAGTTCTTGCTTATCTGTCTATGAGTGCTTGCTTATCTGTCAATGAGTGCTTGCTTATCTGTCAATGAGTTCTTGCTTATCTGTCAATGAGTGCTTGCTTATCTGTCAATGAGTGCTTGCTTCTCTGTGAATGAGTGCTTGCTTATTTGTCAGGGACTGCTTGTTTCGCATGCGTTGACTTCAGTCTGATTCACGGAGCTCTGCTAGAAAACGGTTTCTCCAACCCCCCAGCTGCAGGGTAATTGTTAGAATTCTAAAAAGAACCCTGCAAGTCCCACATCTGGCTCCAGAGGTCCTTCTTTGCAAGGGCTGGTGAGCGTCCCAGATGGGCCAAGCTCCCTCCCCACCCGACTACCCTTCCCCTCCCAATCCCTTTCCCCTTTCCTCATTCCCTCTAATCCCGTTCCCCCACCCCCTCTCCAACCCCCCACCCCCCCGCCCCTGCTCCCCCCTTTTCCCCCACTTCTCTCCCTCCTGTCCTACCAGAGCAAGCATAGCTCCAGCTATCTTCCCAACTTATAATTCCAGCTGTCTTTCCAACTCCTCCAAGGAGTCGACCTCCCTGCCTGCTACCACAACCCCAATTTTCCAACTGGCTTGAAACCCCCTCCCTCCCCGCCTACCCCTCCCCCAATCCCTTTCCCTGTCCTTCCATTCCCTCTAACCCCATTCCTCTCTCCCCCTCTCGAACCCCCCCCTTCTTCACCCACACCTCCCCCACGTTTGTTTCCCCACTTTTCTCCCTTCTGTCCAATCAGCGCAGGAGCTACGCCAGCTATCTCTCCAAGTCCTCCAAGAAACTAAGCTCTCTACCACCTACCACCCCAACTTTTCAATAAACTCGACACCCCCCCCCCCCCCCCCCCCCCCCCCCCCCACCTCCTTCTCACTCCCCCCCTTCCCTTCCCCTCCCCTCCTCCATTCTCCCTTTCTCTTTCTGTCCCACCAGAGCAAGAGCTATTCCAGCTATCTCCCCAAGTCTTCCAAGGACTCAACCTCCCTGCCACCCACAACCTCAATCATTGTGTTGACTCCTTTCCCCCTATCCTTGCCACTGTCTCCCGTTTGTCCACTGTCCCACCAGAGCAAGAGCTATTCCAGCTATCTCTCCAAGTCCGCCAAGGACTCTCTCCCTCTTGTCCAAATCCCTTCCCCCCCCTTCTCACCCACCCCCCCCCCACCACCTTTTTTCCCTGCTTGTCTCCCTCCTATCCAATCAGAGCAAGAGCTATTCCAGCTATCTCTCGAAGTCCGCTAAGGGCTCTAGCTCCCTGCCACCCACAACCCCAACCCCAAGCGCCGCCCCCCGCAACCCGTGGGACCAGCACGTCCCCTTTATAATGAACGACCACGACTCGATAAGAGGCGGCGACCTCTTTGAGCGGTATCAGAACAGCTCGGTACACTCGGCGGGGAATTTCTGTGCGGTTTGCGGGGAGCAGATTGATAACTCAGAGAATGCGGAGGCGAGTGTTCGGGCAGGGAATAGAATGTGCTCGCGGCATGCCAAATGCGGGTAGATGGGTTGGGGCAGTCAGGTGAAATAGAATGTTGGTGTGGGATGGGATGGGAAGGGAACAAAGTTGATTCTTTCTCAGGGTATTGCAATTCAACTACAAAGCTGCTCAAGCAGCTTATGGGGTACAGTACAGGTCTAGACTTGTTTATGAATGACAGCTCTGTGTTAATAATTTTCTGATGCTTATGATTTTTGCCGTCTATCTTGCGTTTCAGTTATGATATACACATCTGTACAGGTTCATGCTTCTTTGCTAATAATTCCATAGAAGTATAATGTAGCCAGGTGCAACCCGATATAAAGCATTGGTCGGTACATTCCTGAACTGTAAACCCTTAAAAATATCCTTTTATGCTGCTGAAATGTTGAAGCCCCTTTCTTCGAGGAGGTTCAGGCCAATAAACCTGCAGGATTGAGGAAGCAAAAGGAGAAAACAGGAAGCAAAGAAGAAATGAACATGGGATGGAAGCAGGGATGTACACCTGTGCATATTCAAACATCTTTTCAAAACTCCCATCTCTTGGGTCAGCTCAAAAGCCATCTCTCCACTTCCGCCATCCATTTTCACGCCATCATGCTCTCACCTCCCAGTGACTCAATTGTGCGCGTACCTTCCGAGCATGAGGCATGTAGCCATGGGGTTGGTGCCCGGGGAGGTGAGAAAGGTAGATCCGTCCACCACCCTCAGTGCTTGCACCCCGTTCACCCGATAGCTGCTGTCCACACACACGCCCCTGTGACAGCCCCCGTGGAAATGCCAGATGACCGTCACCGTGTCCTGTGGGGGAGAGAAATGGGGGAGGTGGGAGGGGAACATTAGATGCGAATCAACCTGCTGATGTCTCAATTTCATGTAACGCCCCATAAACTTGGTAGCTGCTGTCCACACACACGCCCCTGTGACAGCCCCCGTGGAAATGCCAGATGACCGTCACCGTGTCCTTATGTGGGGAGATGGGGGTGGGGTGGCGGGGAGGGAGAGGGTTGTGGGGAGAGGGTTGTGGGGAGAGGGTTGTGGGGAGAGGGTTGTTGAGACAATCTGGAAAGGATTAAGGAATGCACCCAAGAAACAATCGACTAAAGGAAGAGAGCCCACCTTGCACCACTGGGCAGACGCAGTGAAGTTGGAGACGTCTGGGAGTGCAGGGGAAGCCCCACGGAAGTTTCCTGGAGTGATGAGTGCTGCACTTGGGTCAAGGAGACTGCAGGGAAGGGAGGTGCAAGGGTGTATTGAAAAAAAAAAAGGGGGAGATAAGGCAACCAGAAAAGTCTCATCAGGTAAGGCAGAGAGAGAAAGGAAGGCATGTGGGGGGGAGGGAAGAGGGTAGAAACAGACAGGGATGACAGAGGAGCAGAGTCATTTATGTGATGGTAACAACGGGATGGGTGGCGATTCCAGGATTTCAGAGAGAGGGGTTGAGGGCGGAGAGGGCGGTGAGGCGGAGAGGGGGTTGGGGGGTTGGAGGACGGTGAGGTAGGCTTACAAGAGAGCGACAGGTGGGGTGTCATAGCGAAAAGGCGCCATGGCATTGGAGGTGACTATCTTGGTGAGTATCTGCGCTCCCCTCACACACGTGGCCACGTCCTGTGAGAGAGATGAGGATGAGGGAGGAGTGAGAGAGGAGTGAGAAGGAGTGAGATGGGAGTGGGGTGGGGGGGGAGAGACACAGCTGGGCATTCTCGGTGAGCAGCTGTGTGATCCGCACACTTGTTCTGTGAGCAGCTGTGTGATCCGCACACTCGTTCTGTGAGGAGAAACCGGTGGAGAGAGAGGAAAGACATGGGGGTGGGGTGGGGAAGAGAGGTAAAACGCAGCAGGCAGTGGAGGCGACCGTCTTAGTGAGCGAGGTGAGAGGCGAATGCTCAGCACCGTAATCTTGAAGCACTAAACCCGTGTAGCATTATTCACTTCCAGTGCCATACCTGGGGAGCAGAGAAGTAGATGTAGCGCACGATGGGGTTGTCTGAGGCATTGAGGGGCGCGAAGGCATTGAGAGGTGTAATGAATAGAATCTTATAGCACCATACCTGGAGGGCGGAGAAGTAGTTGTAGCGCACGATGGGGTTGTCTGAGGCGTTCAGTTATGCAAGGGTGAGGGAGGTGAAATGCACAGCTGGAGTGCACAAAACACACTGTAAGCCTGAAACCCAATGTGCGAAGAGCACCATACCTGGGGGACGGAGAAGTAGTTGTAGCGCATGATGGGGTTGTCTGAGGCATTGAGGGACGCAAGGAGGCAAGTGAGAGGAGCACCTGCAGCACTACCGGTGCCCCTGTGAACCTAAAGCATGTAGCAGCATACCTGGGGGGCGGAGAAGTAGTTGTAGCGCACGATGGGGTTGTCTGAGGCATTGAGAGGTGAGAGGTGAGAGGTGAGAGGTGAGAGGTGAGAGGTGCACCTGTAGCACTGTAAGCTTGAAGCACCTTACATGTGTGGCACCGTACCTGGGGGGCGGAGAAGTAGTTGTAGCGCACGATGGGGTTGTCTGAGGCATTGAGAGGTGAGAGGTGAGAGGTGAGAGGTGCACCTGTAGCACTGTAAGCTTGAAGCACCTTACATGTGTGGCACCGTACCTGGGGGGCGGAGAAGTAGTTGTAGCGCACGATGGGGTTGTCTGAGGCATTGAGAGGTGAGAGGTGAGAGGTGCACCTGTAGCACTGTAAGCTTGAAGAACCTTACACGTGTGGCACCGTACCTGGGGGGCGGAGAAGTAGTTGTAGCGCACGATGGGGTTGTCCGAGGCATTGAGGGATGCGAGCGTGAGGGATCCACGAGAGGCCGGCAGGTAGACCTGTGGCAGAGAGGGGAGAGGGGGAGGGGAGAGAGGGGTGGTGAGAGAGAGGCGATGGAGAGAGAGAGAGAGAGAGAGAGAGAGAGAGAGAGAGAGAGAGAGAGAGAGAGAGAGAGAGAGAGAGAGAGAGAGAGAGAGAGAGAGAGGTTTGCTGGAAACTCCGATAGTTGTGTTACATGCAAGTCTGTACCTTCCTGGTTTATCAATACAAGGACCATTAGAGAGGGTGAGCGGGGCTTTAAGAGTGGGTGAGCATGAGAGGCCGGCAGGTAGACCTGTGACAGGTGGGGTTGAGGGGGAGTAGTGTGGGCGGAGAGGGAGAGGGCGATGGGGTAGAGGGGCGAGGCGAGGGGGAAAGAAGGTCGCGCTGTTCCGTTCTGTTTCGTCTTTTAGGGAGTTCCCTCCTGACACATAACGTGGTCTTGGAGGCACCTCAAAAACCACCATTTGAGGCGCCTCAAAAACCACCTTTTGAGGCGCCTCAAAAACTAGGGAGTTCCCTCCTGACACATAACACACCGCAACACACCACACGACACAGCACACCGCACACTGCACCGCTCCCTCACGAATAACGCCAAGAATGAATGGCAGCACGGCTTCAATCATCGCCTCCATCTTCCCGCGCGCTTGATGGGGGGGGGTGTGTTGAGCCACATGACCATACCGCACTGCACCACACCACACCGCACACCACCTTACCATGACCGCTCCCCTACCTTGTAGAGAATAAAGCCGGCTTGGTTGAGAGAGTCGCGAATAACACCCGGGATGACAGGCAACACGGCTTCAATCATCGCCTCAGTCTCGCCCGTGCGGTTGATGGGGGGGGCTGTGTTGAGCTGCGTGACCATACCGCACTGCACCACACTGCACTTCTCACTGCGCCACCATCACCACTGTTCCCCTACCTTGTGTAAGATAAACCCGGCTTGATTCAGAGCGTCTTGAATAAACCCGGGGATGTATGGCAGCATGGCTTCAATCATCGCCTCCGTCTCCCCCGTGCGATTGATGGGTGGGGCTGTGTTGAGCTCGCCCGCTCCCGGCCAGCTCAGAGTGTGGTTCGACCCTGACGCGCCTTCGATGATGTTTCCTTCCGGTGTCACAGCCACGAACTGATGGAGAGGGAGAGAGGATAGGAGGGCAGGAGAATGGGAGTGCAAGAGAAAATAGGCGGGGCTGTGTTGAGCTCGCCTGCTCCCAGCCAGCTCAGAGTGTGGTTTGATTTGACCCTGATGCACCATCAATAATGCTGCCCTCTGGTGTTACAGCCACGAACGGATGGAGGGAAGGACCAGAGAGGGACAAGAATATAGGAGACGAGGAGGACAGGGGGGAGAGAGCACGGACACAAGGGGCGACGAACACAAGGATGAGGGCAGAAGAGGAGTGCGGGATCCAGCTTTCTCAGCAGTAGCACCCCCCTTCCCTTGCCCATACCCATGCCATGCCCATGCCATGCCCATGCCATGCCCATGCCATGCCCATGCCTATGCTCTCCCCTAGTCACCCTTCCTGCAGTGACGACTCCTCAACGGGTCTGGGGGACAGCACGTTGATGCCATTGATCGGAACATCAGTCACGTCACACCCATGCCTGGCACCTCCACCACCACCGGCACCCCCAGGGAATCCAGCCCTCTCAGCAGCAACAGCCACTCCCTCACTCACCTGCAGCGACGACTCCTCAACGGGTCTGGGGGACAGCACGTTGATGCCATTGATGGGAACGTCAGTCACGTTCACGCCCACCCCTGGCACCTCCGCCACCACCGGCACCCCCAGCGGATCCAGCTTCTCTCTGGGCCCCAGCCCGCTCAGCAGCAGCAGCTGCGGCGACCCCAGTGCACCCGCTGCTAGCAGCACTTCGCCTCCTGGGTTTAGACGCGCGATGTGGCGGCGGTTGGTGCTGTCTGTGAACACCACGCCTGCTGCTCGTGGCGTGCCTGGGGAGTGGAAGGGGCGGTGGACGGGTGGGAGCAGGGGAACCATTGGAGCAGGAGGAGCAGGGAAGGGGTTTAGCCAGGGGATGTGGCAGCGGTTGGTGCTGTCTGTGAACACCACGCCTGCTGCCCTTGGGGTGCCTATGGGGGTGGGGGAGAGGAAGGGGGGCAGGGCAAGGGCCGGCGGGGTGAAAAACGTGAATGATTTGTCTTATACGATTCCCTTCAGCCTCCAGCTTCTCCGTTGGCCCCAGCCCGCTCAGCAGCAGCAGCTGCGGCGACCCCAGTGCGCCTGCCGCTAGCAGCACTTCCCCTCCCGGGTTCAGCCGGGCTGACTTTTGAGTCGACTCAAAAGTCAGTGCGCCTGCTGCTAGCAGCTCTTCCCCTCCCGGGTTCAGCCGGGGGATGTGGCGGCGGTTGGTGCTGTCTGTGAACACCACTCCCTGCTGCTCGTGGGGTGCCTGTCAGGGAAGGGAGGTGAGGGTGGTTGAGCAAGTGGGAAGGGAGGTGAGGGGGGTTGAGCAAGTGGGAAGGGAGGTGAGGGGGGTTGAGCAAGTGGGAAGGGAGGCGAGGGGGGTTGAGCAAGTGGGAAGGGAGGTGAGGGGGGTTGAGCAAGTGGGAAGGGAGGTGAGGGTGGTTGAGCAAGTGGGAAGGGAGGTGAGGGGGGTTGAGCAAGTGGGAAGGGAGGTGAGGGGGGTTGAGCAAGTGGGAAGGGAGGTGAGGGGGGTTGAGCAAGTGGTAAGGGAGGTGAGGGGGGTTGAGCAAGTGGGAAGGGACGATGGCTGTGGTGACCCCTGCGCCACCCGTGCCAGCAGGACTTCCCCTCCAGGTTTCAGCCGCGCAATGTGGCTGCGGTTGGTGTTACCTGTGAACACAGCGCCTGCTGCCCTTGGGGCGCCTGGAGGGGGGGGAGTTAAGGGAGGGCGCGGGGGAATGGGAGAAGCAGGAAGAGCAGGAAAGGGGTTCAGCCTGGCAATGTGGCTGCGGTTGGTGTTACCTGTGAACACAGCGCCTGGTGCCCTTAAACGCCTGGGAGGATGGGGATGAGGGGAAGAGGAGGGGAGTGGATGGGACGAGGGAGATGGGAGGAGAATGGCAGGAGGAAGGGAGGGGGAAGGGAGGGGATGGGAGCAGGAGCAGAAGGGAAGGGGAAGGGAGGGGGTGGTGGGATGCAGCAAGCAGAATGTGCTGCAACGTTCCGTACACAGACACCGTCAGCCGGGCCAAGTTTCACGCCTCACATCGATTCGCTCTTTGCAACATGCACCATACACCATGCTCCACACACCCAGGCACCGTGCACCATGCACACCAACGTACCGCTAGACACATCCAGCAGGATGCGTTGCACGGTGGCGTATATGAGCACCTTCAGCCGCGCCGGGTCTCCCGCTTTGAGCAGATCTGCTGCTGTCCTGCGCGTGCCGTTGCTGTCAAATATGCTGTTGGCGAGCTGTAGTGGTGGGGAGGAGTGGGGAGGAGTGGGGAGGAGTGGGGAGGAGTGGAGATGAGTGGGAGGGGTGCACAGCACTTTGAGCAGATCTGCTGCTGTCCTGCGCGTGCCGCTGCTGTCGAATATGCTCTTGGCGAGCTGTGAAAACAGCAAGTGGGGAAGAGTGGAATGGTTTTTCGGAGGGAAAGAAAGGGGACAAAGGGGCATTGAGAGGGGTATGTCTCTTGCATTCAGCAAGTTTGCTGCACGCCCGCGCACGCCGTTGGTTCTCAAGAATTCTCAAATACGCCATGCATGCTGTCCGCCAGCTGTCGGTGGAGTCAAGCGCGTTTCATCCTCGTTATAACCACAAATCACCCCTCACCCTGGTCCCAGTAACGTGCTCCTGGCTCCTATCCCCTCCACGGCCCCAACCCCCCATAACGCCATACTTAAACGCTGCTGCCCCCACGACTGGCCCCTGCTGCCATCCATTGTTCCCCCACCAGCCAACCCTCCTCGTCCTCTATACACCTCACACTCCAACCACACCTAACTCCCGTTACAGTCACATCACCTCACCTTGGTCCCAATCACGTGCTCCGGCGTCTGTCCCCTCCACGGCCCTAATCCCGCCTCCAACATGCCATCCCTGAACGCCTGGTGCCACCCCCCTGCCTGCTGCTGCCTCTTCTCCAATCCAATCCCCTTCCCCACCTTGACGCACACTTTTTATCCAATTCTGTTGCTGCAGCATTATCTCACCTTGGTGCCGATAACGTGCTCCGGCGTCAGCCCCCTCCACGGCCCCAGCCCCGCCTCCAACATGCCATCCCTGAAGGCCTGCTGCCACCCCCCCGGCTCCTGCTGCGGCACAAACGCAATTCTCTCCTCCACCCACTCGAATGCCTGCCGCACCCTCACAGGGTCCCACCCTGCCGCCTGCACGAAATCCGCTGATGCCCGACTGGTGTGGAGGAAGGTGGGGTGGGGGAGGGGGAACAGAGAGGGAAGCGAGAGGTGGGTAAGGAGGAGGGTTGGGGCCTGAAGGCCTGCTGCCACCCTCCCGGCTGCAGCTGCGGCACAAAGGCTAATCTCTCCTCCACCCACTCAAATGCCTGCCGCACCCTCACAGGGTTCCACCCTGCCGCCTGCACGAAATCCGCTGATGCCCGACTGATGGTGGGGATGGGGGGGGAGTGAAAATGATGGAGGGAGGAGGGAGGTGGGAAAAGTGGAGGGTGATGACAGGGGAGAAGGGCGATGACAGGGGGGGGAGGGGGGGGGGGAAGTGCCTGCAACAAGGAACCTGCCATCTTATAAGGCAGGAGTGAGGTTTCCCCAACAAAGGTACTTGCAGCAGCCCGCATTTGAAAAGCTCCTGCCACCCCCCTGCCTGCTACTGCGCTGGCATACACGCTCTCTCACTGAATATTCACCGCTTTCAGACGAACATTCGGTGAACATTCAGTGAACATTCACCCATACCTGTAGAAGCCAGCGTTGACAGAGCTACCACCGCCCAGCACGATTCCGCGCCGATTCCACACCCCATCCTCCGATCGGAAGGGCACCGACGCCCTCGTGCTGAGCACATAGGGGAAGGCCTCTCGACGGTACACTGAGGGCTGGAGGAGGGATGGCGGAAGGATGAAGAGGGGTGGGTGGGGAGGGGTGAGGAGCGGTATGCAGGGGAGGCGAGGCAACCAAGGGCACAGCCGCCCCTCGAAGAGAATAAGAATACAACCGCCCTCGTGCTGAGCACATAGGGGAAGGCCTCTCAGCGATACACAGAGGGCTGGAGGAGGGATGGCGGAAGGATGGAGAGAGGGGGTTGTGAGTGTTAGGGGATGGAGTAGCGGGGGGTATGGAGGAGGGAAGAGGGTGAGACAACGAGGAATACAGCCGCCCTGATGCTGAGCACATAGGTGACCTTTGAGTCGACTCAAAATGCACCTCGTTTCGAGTCGACTGAAAAGTCACCTCGGTACAATGCACAAGAGGGTGAGACAACAATGAATACAGACGCCCTCATGCTGAGCACGTAGGGGGAAGCATCCCTGCGGAACACTGAAGGCTGGAGGAGTTGGGGGGAAGGGAAGGGAGGAGGCGGATGTGGGGAAGGGGAGTGAGGAAGACAGCCAAGGGGAGTGACGCGCCTGTGCTGAGCACATAGGGGGAAGCATCCCTGCGGTACACTGAAGGCTGGAGATGGGGGAAGAGGAGGGAAGGGGAGGATGGGGTTGGGGAGAGTGAGTGGGGCACAGCCGTCCTCGTGCATGACGAAGAGGACGAATGGGTCCTAGTGGAAAGAGGAGGAAGAATGGAGAGGGTGCATGACTGGGAGATGGAGTGGAGGTTCGACCAGAAAGGCACAGCTGCCCTTGTGCTGATTGCATAACGGGGGGCCTCTCAACGGCAAGCTGAGAATTAGAGTGGAATCGAAGGGAGGGAAGGAGGGAGGGGTTTTCTTAAGGGTGCGACTCAACTACTGTATAAGGCTCTGTGTATACCTGGTCGTAGGGCACGCCTCCTCTCTCCAGCAGCAGCACTCAGAAGCCGTTAGAGAGGGTGGCGGCCAGGGGACGAGATGTGATTTTTGAGACGTCTCAAAAAACGGAGAAGCCTTCAGAGAGGGTGGCGGCCAGGGGAAGAGATCTGATTCACTTATGCTTTCAGTGTCAGCCCTGTAACTGCGGCCGCATCTGCTCTGCTAGTGGAGGGTGCTGGTTGCGGTAACATATCTGCTCAAAGGCATACCTGGTCGTACGGCACGCCTCCCCTTTCCAGCAGCAGCATGGAGACGCCTTTAGAGAGAGAGAAGGCACGGTGGATGGGGAGCGGAGGCATGGGAGGGGGGAGAGGCTCGGAGAAGGTAAGTGGGCATATGGAGGAGAAGGTAAGTGGGCATATGGAGGAGAAGGTAAGTGGGCATATGGAGGAGAAGGGAGAGAAGGCATGGAGGATATGGGAGCTTTTGAGTCGACTCAAAAGTCATATGGGAGCGGAGGCGTGGCGTGGGAGAGGGAAGAGGCCCGGAAACGGCAAGAAGGGTATACCTGGTCGTAGGGCACGCCTCCTCTTTCCAGCAGCAGCACGGAGAAGCCTTTGGAGAGGGTCGCGGCCAGGGGGCACCCCACTGCACCGCCTCCCACCACAATGTAGTCGAACGTGGGCGGGGGCGCGGAGGGGGGGGAGGAGGCGGCGAAGGTGGAGGTGGGCGGGGGAGTGAAGGTGGCAGCATCGCGGATATAGGGGTAGAGTTGCCTCCAGTTGGGATCTGCGGCAGGGTGGGGGAGGGGAGGGAGAGGACGAGGGACGCGGGGACAGGGAAGGAGAGGAGAGACAAAAGGAGACGGGGGAGAAAAATGAGACGCGGGTGAAAGAGGTGGGAGCAGGAGAGAAGGTTGAAAAGATATGGGAATGGGACGAGGTGGGAGCAAAAGAGGGAGAAAAAACACCAAGCAGAAGGCCATTGGTCGAGGAGAAACGACGGAAAGAAGTGAAAGGATAAGGAAGAACGTAAAAGAAGTGAAAGGATAAGGAAGAACGTAAAAGAAGTGAAAGGATAAGGAAGAACGTAAAAGAAGTGAAAGGATAAGGAAGAACGTAAAAGAAGTGAAAGGATAAGGAAGAACGTAAAAGAAGTGAAAGGATAAGGAAGAACGTAAAAGAAGTGAACGATTCTCACCTTGGGCATAGGTGAGTTCGAACAGGCCTGCTGCCGCCACCAGCACTGCCGCTAAGACCACACCACGCCGTCCAGCCAACCAGGCGCTGCCACGTGTTCCTGCCACCGCCATGTCGCGAATCGCAGCCCCGTTGTGAGGAGAAACTGAGCGAGAGCCGGCAGCAATTGTTGTATCGAGACGTCTCGCCGCGAGATTCTCTATCCAATCAGCCGCAATAGTTTGGAGAATGAGTTGGGAGGCGGATCACGCGACAAAGGTCGCGCTCAGGCGTTGCAAGGCCGTCAAACAGCAGTATTGTTAAATGATTGTGAGTGTATCAAAAAGCCGGAACGGGGATATGCGTTCCCAACGAAGTACGCGCAAGCTTTGCCCCTTAGTCACGAAAGCGAGGGATGCGATGATAGCTAAGGGTAGGACAACCTGGAAGGGCAGTAGATGGAAAGAATAAGAACGGGAAGAAATGCTGTTGCTGATGCCGCGCTGCTGCGACACGGCAGTCAAGTAGCGGACAGCGGCTGCTGCTGTCTGTGAGAGAGCCGTTTGCGAAGGAGTGCCCGAGAGGTCTCGCATGCCGAGGCGCGCTTATCACCCCAAAGCGGGCATGCGCTGGCATGATTCAGACTACTCGCGTGAGTCTCGAACCGCCTCGGTTGAGCCGCTTGGACTCATGTGGAGTGGTCGGAGGGCGCCTTCCCCGGCGGGGAAGGCGAGAGCCATGACGTGACTAGCTCAGGCTGAAAAAACATAATTTCCTCAAACTGCCCGCACTGCTAAGCTGCTGCTAAGTCAGCTGTCTCGATTGTTCTTGGTTTTGGCAGTGGGAGCCACTGGCATGACGGGACTAGCTCAGGCTGGAAACCGTGATCTCCCCTGACTGCGCAGGCTGCTTCTAAGGCAGCTGTCTCGATTGTTCTTGATTTTGGCAGTGGGAGCAATGACGTGACTGGCTCAGGCTGAAAACTAGAAGTCTCCGAGACCGCCGGGCTGCTCCTAAGCCAGCTGTCTCGAATGTTCTTGATTCTGTCGGCAGGTGCCATATGAGGGGACTAGCTCGCACGGCATGCGGTAGAATAACGTGACAGTTACTACCAGGCGCGGCGCTGTGGTCGACGACGCGCTAGTCGTACTCAGCCCACGACGGCGCGAGACTAGGGTCGGTTATGGTGACTTTGACTTACTTTGGCTGCATCGAGGCTGCCGTTCTTGCGTTCCGCGGCACGCGCAAGTGTGCGACAAAAGACCCCACTATCGCTCTCTAACACGCAATCCTTCTCTCGATAACGACCCTCGACAAAGATGTGGCGAAGCGGCGGATACGCCATGCGACATCCGAGCGAGAGGGAGAGAAACAGCTGGGATTCTTCGCACACGCGATGATTGCGACAAAAATCCGCGGATGGAGAAACACCATTGGTTGGACGAGCTCGGCTAGTATCAATCGGCGAGCGCCGTGCGGCGATGGAGGAACAAGCGAGGGCGAGTGTGATGCTACCGAGACGAAAGGTTGAGAGAGTATGACAGGAGACTGATGGACTTAGATATGAATAGGGACGTTGTGTTGGTTGCGACAACGACAGGCTGCAGCGCGCGGGACGGCGACAGCCGCGCGACGGTAATTTCGACATTGCGGAGGTGCGTATTCAATGCCCGCAGTGTGTGACAAGTGGCAGGCAAGTCACATGGTTCCGCCGAGTCCAATCCATACTAGTAAAGCTGATCTTTGAGGAGGATGAGTGAAGATAAAGTAGATACCAGTATGTGATAAGGTGAGCTCGATCAGGGCTGTCGATTCAAGGGCATTTGGCCTTAATGCCCTGAACATTAAGGTCTGACTTTGCCCCAAAGTCCAGATTCTCAGGGTTGAGTTTCTGTACAGCCCGGAATGGTAACGGGCGTGGGCTGGGCCTTCCCCGGAATCTTACAGGGTCCTCTTGGAGGGCTTCCCTGATTCCAAGGGAAAATTTCCGGCCTTACCCGGAAACTTCCACGGCCCTTCCAGACCCCCCCCCCCCCCCCCCCCCCCCTCCCCCCCTTTTCCCGTTTTCCCCCTTACCACCATTCCATCCCTCCTCCGATCCGAACCCATCCCTGTCTGCCGCCAAGTCACATGTTATCGGCTGGCTGACCAATTGCACTCTTTCCCCCCAACCACGCTTCTCCGTTGCTCCACTTTCATGCATCCCGTCTCGAGCCCAGCCACCTTCCCTCCATTCCACTACCATGTCCACCACAGGAGGGTTTGAGTGGAGTGGTAGTTGTTGTAACGTGTGATTCGTGTCGTGCCATCACACGCTTGCGCGATGTCAACGTTCCATCCGCCTCCCCTCAATCACCTCCCTATAATGGTTCTACCCCTGCCACCCCTCTCTTCACTGCAGCTCAACTCAGTTTCCCGCACGCCTTAGCTCGGCAGGCTGGGTGTAACGCCAGCGATGGAGGCAGATAGCGAGTTCGATTTTTCCCCCCTCGATGCTCTAGCCGGTATTTGTGGCTCTGTTGGCACGGTGAGCTTGGATGACAGCGTCGCTAATGACGCTGACCAGGAGTTTGATGACAAAGGAGAGGAGGAAGAATACGAAGGCGAGGAGGAAGAAACCGAAAGCGACGAGGAACATTCCGAGGGCGAGGATGAAGAAGAAGAAGGCGAGGAGGAAGAAGATGAAGGAAAGCGCGGGTACCTTGACATTGACATCAACGTGGCCATCACCGATTCCCAGTTATCCCGGCTAGAGCGCGCGGCAGCACAGTCGGGAATCCCGCTTCGTCCAGCACGCTTCCGCCAATCGGTGATCAGCTTCGGCGGGACTACTGCACCAACCCGGCCTGCGAAGAAACGTATGCGCACGCCTTTGCCTCCCCGACCGGAGCCTGTCGCGGACAACGATTGGCTGGCGGAAATGGACGAGGAGAAGAGGAAGGCATTCAAGATTCCTGCGTCAGAGCAGGCTATGGCGCGGCACTTCAACCCAGTGTGGAAGCTGCAATACCCGTGGCTGACGCTCGAGTTCGACCCTAAGCTTATGTAGTATGGCATGAAGTGCAAGGTCTGCAAAACGCACGCACCACATACTAAGTCCCCGTTTGGTCGAGGTGGTGCAGGTGGTCGCGACTTCCAGAAGAACGCGTGCAAGTCTCACGTGTCAAAATTAGAAGGAAGAAAAAGGATTGAACTAGCAAGAATGAGGATACAAATAGCAAACCCTAGAAGGGTTGTACTCGCTATAGAGCACCCCACTACAGGCTAGAACAATAAGATAATATTCTGACACACCCCCATAGCCAAAGTGGGGTGTAATCAGCAGAGCAGGCAAAGCAAAACAAGCTCAGGGTGGATCACAATGTCACCACACATTCTGAGCACAAGTTCAAGAAGAAATAGTTTAGAGTTCACAATTATAAGCAAAGCTAGTGGTAGTCACAACGGGCAAGTGAGGAGGAGGAGGGAGAGTGAGGGGAGAGGAGACAGGAGGCGACGGCTGAAGCTGCAGACACACGGGCAACAGGAGGCAGACTGGCTCAGCGGCTACCGGACAGCGCCCGGACTACAGGAGTAACAGGCCCCGCGGCTCAAATAGCGGCGGACGGGCAACGGACCCACGGGCGGCTGGCACAGCTGGCTACGACTGGGCTACCGGGACAGCGCCCCGGACTACAGGTGCTGCTGACGACAAACTGGCAACCTCCGCTCATCCTCCCGCACACAGTCCCACCCCCCTGATACACACCCACTGCTACACCACTAGCTCTACTCCCACGCACCCCCCTTAAACCCTAAACCCAGTCTCCCACACAACCACCCCCCTCAGCGACAGCTGCAGCAGTGGGAGACGAAGGAGGAGGAGGAGAAAGGGAGGAAGGCACACCGACCACCCCCATACCCGCCACCCCACAGCCCCGAAGGAGCCGCGACGGGCGACGGGAAATGGCAGGGGGGGGGGGGGGGGGGGGGGGGGGGGGGGGAGGCGGTGTGGTGAAAGGGGCCCACCACGAGCCTGGTTGGAGGGCGGGGCCGCGACAAGGGGCGGGGCCGCGACGAGCGGGGCGGGGCCGCGACGTAAGGCGGGGCCGCTTCGAGGGGCGGGGCCGCGACATAGGGCGGGGCCGCGACGTAGGGCGGGGCCGCGACGGGCAGGCGCACGGGCGGCGACGGGCCGGGGCGGGTCCGCGACGAAGGGCGGGGCCGAGCCGGGCACGCGCACGGGCGGCGACGGGCCGGGGCGGGTCCGCGACGAAGGGCGGGGCCTAGCCGGGCATGCGCACGGGCGGCGACGGGCCGGGGCGGGTCCGCGACGAAGGGCGGGGCCGAGCCGGGCACGCGCACGGGCGGCGACGGGCCGGGGCGGGTCCGCGACGAAGGGCGGGCCGCGTCGAGCGGGCGCACGGGCGGCGACGGGCCGGGGCGGGGCCGCGACGTAGAGGAGAAGCCCGCCGCGCGCCACGGGGCGCACAGCGGGCAATGAACCGCCGCGCGCCTCGGGGCGCACGGCGGGCAGAAAACCGCCGCGCGCCTCGGGGCGCACGGCGGGAGGAAAAAGTAGCAGCGGAAGCAAGGTGGGGACACACCCACAGGATCGATCCAGGGGGATCGACCTGCTCTGATAGCATGTCAAAATTAGAAGGAAGAAAAAGGATTGAACTAGCAAGAATGAGGATACAAATAGCAAACCCTAGAAGGGTTGTACTCGCTATAGAGCACCCCACTACAGGCTAGAACAATAAGATAATATTCTGACATCACGATCATTCCAAGGTTCACCTGGCTGCCATGACCGCCGAGCGCCTCGCACAAGGGACGGAGACAGTGCAGCGCAGTCTCCTCGACATGCTCAGCAAGGACCCGCGAATGGCTCGTGTCATCAAATGCATGCAAGCAGCCTACTGGATTGCGCGGCATGATGCTCCAATTGTGCTCTACTCCAGCCTTGTGCGCTTCCTTGCAGATCAAGGATGCCCTGACCTCAAGAACGACGACACGTACGGGCGGTATTTCTCACGGTGAGTGTGTCTAAGGTCATCCTCGCCCTTATATTGTTTAGTTCCGCCGTCTTTGACTGACTATGTTTTTATTGTTTCTTCCCAGATACGCGTTCGGGGAGTTCGTGAGCGCACTG